TTATTTCCTTCCCTCTGTTGCTTTTTACAAAACAGTGACAATTAAACATTTATTTTACACTTCTCCAGCATTGTTCTGTCTGTGCACACCCTCCAAGGGCTTTACAAGCAGCAGTTAAGCCCCATGACACTCTGAGGGAAGGAGGTTATTAGTAACCTATTGCAAATGGAAAAACTAAGGCACGGCAGAATTAAATGGATTCCTGAATGAGAGCATCCAGGAATCCTAGCTCTCTCCATTTTCTCTCAAAAGTCCTAGGCCTTTCAACACATTTAGGGTTGGCTAACTAATTTCCTGCTTCTTTACCACACTGAATATGCCAGACAACTGCATCTCCCATGCTGCTGCATGACTAGGTATAGTACTATGTACATGAACTTCAGAGCTTTGCTGCAAAACCTAGTTTCAGCCACCGGACTGGAGAGTGGTGAAGTGGGTAAGAATGAATAGTCAGAAATACATGCCTTGCTGCCTTTCAAACTAAAAAAAAAAAACCCCATATCCTCACTGCACACTGACAACTGGTGACCAGACAGAGTGTGTTATCAGTTGGCTAGGCTGACTGCAGACTTCCAGCATATAGCCAAGGCTTCAACTTGAACCTGGACCTTCACTGTCACTTTGCCAAGGATAGAGACATCAAAAGAAAGCCTCCTTATAATTTAGTTTGCAGAAGCTGTGCTAAGTATCTCTTGGCCAAAAATAGCTCCTTTGACCTCTTACACTTGCTTGTTTTATATTTCATTTAAGGCATGGTCTCACCAAACAAATACTGACATGCCACTGCATCAGTGTGTGAGTGTGTGCATGCACACATGTATGTTGCTTCCATGAAAACTGCTTGTTCCATGAGAACTGTTGTGTGATTCATTCTAAAAGGGGGTGAGACTGTTAGGTTAAACACCAAAACCCTTAGATGTCGTACAAATTAAAACCACTTATACCAGGGATAATCCTTCGTGTCCTAGAGAATCACAAATTAGGGGGGCACAAAGGTAGCCTAGAGCTGTCCCTGCCCTCCCACCCACCTACCCTTTGCAAAGCTCAGCCAAGATGAAGACCTGAAGCCAAAAAGCATGGCCAGATCTCCTGGTGTTTCTATTAACTCCTGCCTTTGCTTGATGTTAGATTCACCTTTTTGATCAAATGCCCAAATGTTCATGGTACCGATGAAACACACATTCATCCCTCTGTCATTGCAGGATTGATCTCTACATTTCATAGAGCTTTATCTCAGCATTCTTCAAGAACAACACAGTCTGATAGTGTAAGCACTGCTAGTAACTGCATTGCAGGGCCATAATCTGGACTGTTTTCTTTAAGAGATTTTCTTCTTAAAATACTACAAAATATATGATTGCCAATGCCTGCTGCAAAATACAGATTACTACTTATGCACAAGATTATTTTTTGCATTTGTTTCTGTGATGGATGAGCAAATTGCTTTATAATGAGATTCTACTTCCCAGAACTATAATCCTTTTTCTGGATTCTTCTATTATTTTTCTGTGGTTTGTATAACTGACCAGAATTATACAGACTCCATTGCAATGGCATAATGTTACTCTAGCTATAAATGCATCCCATAATAACTAAAAATTATTTTGACACTTCTTGATAATGTTTATGGATTGCTTCATGTCACCAAAATGTTATCACAAAAAAGTTCAGTGCAGGGTTAACAACTGTATTTCAATAAACTGTGATCAACATTCACACAGACAAAAAAAAGGCTGAGTAACTAAACGCCTCCCCCCATTCCAGCCAGTGGCCTGAGAAAAAACCTTGAAAGCTCTCCAAAAGCATCAGAGTGCAAACTATAGTCAGCATGGGCAGGTTTCCGATATTACTACATAGTGGTTCTACCAAGACACTAATGCAAAACTTCACTCTTTCTTGAAAGCACGTAGTTTCTAAAGGAAGGAATCGTCACTGGGCTGGACTCGCATTTTGCACCATATCTGGAAAACTGCACTCACCCTAGCTGTTTAGTGTCAACTCTTAACCATGAAGAATGCCTGGGAAAAAGATGCTACCCTTAGACTTCTCTCTTACCCACCTGTAGATAGCAGCATTGGAAAGCCCATGTGTAAGAGTTAGCTAAGACCTGGCTAAATGTGTTGCTCATGTTAATTTGCCCAGCAGATGCATGAAAATCCTTGCAGACTTTTCCACTGAAATTTATACGATTCTTTGAAGAGTCCAGCACAGGCATAGGCAAGAGGGGATGCTAAGCAGGAGCATGACAGCTTAGGGTCCTCAGGGAAAGGAATAGCACAGATTGGCAGATGGCTCCTGGTCTGCATGTATTGTAGACATGAAGCATCAAACTTTTGCCTTCTACCACAGTGACTCAGAACTGAGTGTTTGGACTCCCACTGCTTGAACCTCGAGAAGCAATTTACAAATGGAAAACAGTTACAAAGCTGAAGCTGCCAGAACTGAATCCTCCACTCATCTACACCAGAATAGCACGGCACGCAGGGGTACTTAATATTACAAATGTCAAGCTTTGGCAAATCAAGGCCAAAGTACCACAAGCCACTGGGTTTGAAGCTTCTTACACTGGAATTAAGCAGTAAAATCCTGGAAGTACATCAAAATACTTCAGGAGTGTGGTACAAGATGGGAATCAGGCCCAGTGTATTAGAGTATCTTTTGCCATTCTGTTTGCTTTTTTCAAATGAATAAACGATATAAAATGTAGCACCTGATTCTCATTTACAGTAAGGCTCTTTTATGATTGCTCTGGCAACCTGAAGGGACTTTACAGCTTAAATGAGAAGTAATTCAGGCCTTTACCTATAAGTTTAAGGTGATAACAAAAATTAGCCTATTAAGAAAGTGTTATATCCAATGTCTCATGCTGAATCACAGAATCAGAGGGTTGGGAGGAACCTCAAAGGCCATCTAATCCACCCCCTGCATAAATGCACTATCTCCAATATCCCAAACAAATGCCTATCCAGCTTCTTCTTAGAAACCTCCACTGAATTCGATTCCACAGCTTCCCTGAGCAGCTTGTTCCACTGCATGACTGTTCTGACAGCAAAGAATTTTCTGAAGTTTATATCTGCTTTGCTGCAGTTTAAGCCCATTGCCTCATGCCCTGTCCTCTGTAACAAAGGAGAGTGGTTGTTCTCCCTTTTCTTTATGGCAGCCTGTCAAATCTTTGACTACTGCTGTCATGTCCCACCTTAATCTCCTTTTCTCCAACCTAAACATATCCTGTTCTCTCAATCTTTCCTCACACAGCTTGCATTTGAAACCCTTATTACTTGTCTTTGTTTATTCTCCAATTTCTCCACATCCTTCTTAAATAGGGTGCCCAGAATTGCACACAATATTCTTGCTGGGACCTAACCAGCAATGAGTACAGCGGTACCATTCTCTCTTGTATCTTACATACAATATTTCTGTTAACGCAGCCTCAAATTGCATTTGGTTTTGGTTATTTTTTTGGCAATGGCATTATAGTGGTGATTCATTTTGAACCTTTGATCCACCAAAACCCACAGATCCTTCTAGTAATGCCACAACCTAGCCAATTATCTCTCATTCTGTATTTGTGTGTTTGGTTTTTGCTCTCAAAGGGCACATCTACAAGTACAACTAATGTGCCTGAATTTTCTGCGCAGAAAAAATTCAGGCACATTAAAATGCAACCCCCCTGCATGCATCTTAATAGGCACCTGTGGGGAGCAAATTTGCTCCTGACAGGAACAGTTCAGTCTAGGGCTGCTCTTGCCCTGCTCTGCCTCCCTGCAGCAGCCAGGGGGAACTCCATGCTCCCCTGGGTGCCAGCCGTAGGGCTGGAAGTGGGGGACGGAGGCTGGTCCCAATCTGAGTTGGAGGAGAGCTGTCCCGGCCACATGGAGATCCATCCTAATCGCTACGTGGCTGAAGCAGCTGCCCAGCAGCTAGGACAGCTCTCTCAGCCATATGGAGATAGGGACAGGTCCTGATCTCCACGTGGCTGGCAGGCAGCATCCTACCAAGCCAGAATAGCTCTCCCTGCACCCTGTGGCACCCTGCTGCTTAGGCTGACCAGAAGCTATTTGCTCCCAGTCAGTGTCTACACGTGCACTTCGGCACATTAATTTAATGTGCTGATTTCTAGTACTTGTGTTTACAGGTACTAGAAAATGGTGCAATAGACTAATCTACTGAACAGTAATTGCTACACACGTGTAGACAGTGATGCTTTACTGCACATTAGACTAATGTGCAGTAAAGTGTCTTGTGTAGATGCACCAATGTCTAGTACTTTACGTTGGTCTGTGCTGAATTTCATTCTGTTGTCCAATGCCAATTCTCCAATCTATCAAAACCCTTTTGAATTGTAATACTCACATCCAAAATGTTTGCAATCCCTCCCAGTTTTAACTCATCTGTGAACTGATCAGGATGCTTTCCATTCCGTCATCCAAGACATTAATAAAAAATGTTAAATAGCATCAGAGCCAGAACAGTCCCCCGTAGTGCCCTACTTGTAACCTTCTGCCATTCCAATATTGAGCCATTTATAGTTACTTTCTGCTTCCAGTTCTTCAGTCAATTATGCGTTCACCTTCTAGTAATTCTGTCTGGCCCTCATTTTTCTAATTTATTTATGAGAACGTCATATGCGACTGAATTAAAAGCCAAGTATATTATGTTCACTGAATTCCCCTCATCCACCAAACTAGTTATTCTGTCAATGGAATAAGCAATAATTGAATAATCTTACAACAAAATAGCTGGCATATTGGAAATCTAACTGCTAGTTTAATGAGCAACATGCTAGTCACATAGTTTTATCTTCCCAGATATCAACTTGGACAGGAGAGGGGTTACAGTAGTTCAATTATACATGATTTAATGATCAACTCAATGTTATCTCTTCTGAAGTGAACAGGAGTATATATAAATTCTTTAACCTGGAAGAACCATATAACAAACTATTACTAGGGAAGACCTCTCTGTTCTGAAACAACCTTAGAATACCAAAAAGATACAGCATGAAAACAGCTCTAGTCTTTCTTTTCATTGTCTCATTTGCTATTTCTGCTAGATCTGAGAAAGATTATTCTGCCTTTGATTCTATACCCCCCGAGCCAAAATCAAAATTTGCTTTGTTAGATGATGTACGAATTTTAGCCAATGGACTCCTCCAGCTTGGACATGGTCTTAAAGATTTTGTCCAGAAGACCAAGGGGCAAATCAATGACATCTTTCGAAAACTTAATATTTTTGACAAGTCATTTTATGAGCTGTCACTGCAAACAAATGAAATCAAAGAAGAAGAAGAAGAGCTCAGAAAAACAACCTCCGTATTACAAGTTAACAATGAAGAGATAAGGAATATATCACTTGAGCTGATTTCAAGGATTGAAAACTTCATGCAAGAAAAAATCCAGCTTCAAGAGAAAGTAGGTGAACTGGAAAAGAAAGTAGTTAAATTAGTCCATGGACAGCCTGTAATTCAAGAATCAAAAGAAATTACTTCACTCAAAGTAAGTAAACTTGAGAAACTCATGTGGCAAAAATCCAGAGTAAACAGGAATGCTATTTTAAGTAATGTATGCAATGCAAAACCATGCTTTCTTTATATAGTTTTTGTAGTCAAAGTGGTATTTTTTCTGAGAAAAGAAGAAATCAGAACAATAATCTTACAGGAATCAATTCAAGTGTCTTAACATGGGCCATGACTTGCCATCAGTTTTAAAGCAACCCCCCCTTAAAATCTGTACGGAAATATATTTGGAAACTGATTACATGATATGGCCCTAACATGCTTGTTTTATGGGTTTTCTTAAACAATTTCAAAATACAGTATGCTGTTAAGAATGCTAAAATCCTTTGAAATCTGGAAATTAATGCTATTAAAAAAACTGCATTATAGCAGGTTATCAGCTGCTTGAAAAAGGTGGTGTACAAGAATTCTGCTAGGTTCAATTTTGACCAGAGTTAAAAACATCCCTAAAGAGGAATATTTATGTAACCACTCTAAGGCCCGTGTTCCCACCAAATCTAAGTGTGTTTTGCAACTGTCTATGAATTTAGTCTCACACCATCCCTGTGAGAAGGAAGTGCTATTACCCACCTGTAACAGATATGGAACTGAAGCACAGAGTGGTATTGGCCTGAGGTCACATAGGAAGCCCATAGCAGAGAAGGGAGTTAAACTCAGACCTCCAGAATCCTAGGTCAGTGCCATGGCCAATGGCGTATCCTTCCTTCCTTCCTTTCTGCTAGCATGCTGGAATGTGTTCAGCCAAAATCCACATAAAAATTCTAGTCACCCAAAACTGCAAAGCTACAGTTAGTAATAAAAAGGCCAAATGAAGGCCTCTGAAGCTGATTTTTTGTTTTCTCAAATAAGGACTCAAGAATTTGATCCAAAATGTGTTCATTTCAAAAGAGGAAGCATTCTGCCCTATAAATAGATCAAGAAAGACAATATTCAGGCAAACAATGACTGTTATTAAATGGTTTTGCCTTTAGAAATCGACACCAGTAAAGTGGAGGGTTGAAGGACATGATGCTAAGGGCACGATTCTAACCTTCCTAACCATGTAGTCTTAAGTTTTTCATTCAGTTTCATTCTTCCTTGCTCTCTCCACAGAGTTTTGTAGAGCGGCAAGACAACCACATTAGACAACTTCTCAAAATTGTACAAGACCAACATGCACAACTTGACAAGCAGCACAGTGAAACCACAGAGCTGGAAGATAAGGTACTGTAACTGTTTTTCTGAATTAACTTCTCCTTTGCAGAATTTGTTTTATCTCTGATATTTTATGGAAAAAATAGCTCCCTTGGTCAAAATGTAGCTGGTAGGATTTCTGTGGCTGTGGACCAGCTGTGCTGATGCTGTACGGAGTTGGGGTACAGGCCACTGATAGGCTGTGACAGGGCTCTGTACCATGAACTAACTGTAAGCACAAGGGGAACATTCACTGCAGTAGCCACTTTCCTCTCTAATTCTCTTATTGTCTATAGTACTATTCTTCATCTTAGACCAGCTCTCTTCCCCTCCCTTTACTCCCATTTTTAACTTCTATTTTATCCTTCCCTCTTCTTCTGCTATATTCACATCAAGAGTACCCCATGCTCCCACATTAAAACACTTAATCTTGCTTAATGCAGCAGTGGGTATAATTGACTAGATTTTGAAACTGACAAGAACATGTTTAATTACACTCCTCAGAACAGGAGTGAGGAAAAGACATGCCAGTTCCACAGTTCCTTAAACTATTTAGTTGTTGGCACTAGTTCTCTAAACTATGTCAGTTAAGACAATCTACTCATGAATATATATCTCACATGGACAGGTAAACTACAAACTACATCACTTATCTCAATGCAAGTGTTTCACTGATCAAAGATGTGTTTCAAAGAGGCATATCAATAGTAGCATACAGGAAATCTGTAGAATATTTTTAGGCCTTTTTCATGTTGTGCTTTTTCACATTTTCAAATTGATTATTTTAAGTGACTAAATTCATAATAAAAATGAACGCTGTAACCTTGGACTGCTAAATGAAATATATATGTACATGTCTCTTCCAAATTCTTGGAAGATTAATAATATATTAATATGCTTTGTTTCAGCTAAACAACACAGGCTTTCAAGAAAATACAGAAACTGCATTTTCTTGGAAGCAAACAAAACCACAAACCATCCCCACTCCGTCACCTAATTCAATGGCTACAAAACAAGAATTTGGTGGTAAGATCATACAATGACTTTTTATATAAGTACATGATATATTATGTTTGCAGGAATCTGCAGGTGCACAATGAAGATTGTTATTTTCCATATCATGTTTTATGAAACAGGCTGGATTTTTGCATTTGGAGACTGACTCATCCATTTAATCATATGAAAATGTGCAACAATGCAAATTCTTCCATATCATAATGACAACATCTGGAGGATAAAAAGTTAAATCTTAAGTAGTTAATGCAATCTCTAGTCTCTTCTTGGGTTATGCTTTGTTATGACTACCACTCTGTGCTTTTTTTGCCAATGGTGATGATGTCTACAATACTTGTCCATGAGGAAATGTATTGAGCATCAAATTCATTTTACACAGGCCACTTACAGTACCTCTGATTAGGCTTTTAAAGCAGACTGGAATTTCTGAATTTTAGTGATGGGAATTCAGACTAAGTCAATCATTAACTGATTCAAAATTTGTTGGGAAAAAATCCTAACTACCAACAATCTAGTCTTAATTTTCTAAGATTATCTAAAGAAAAACCTTGTCGACCTGAGAAAACACCAGCTGTCCACATTTCATTTGGATTAACACTCAGCCCTCACAAATAAATTTGCCCATTTCAAAGATGCAACTGTTATAGAAGAAAGGTACTGCTGAGAAACCTATTCCAGCTTCTGTTCTGCTTCACACATTTTGATAAAGAGAAATATCCCTGGATTTTGTCCTTCAAAATTCCTGATTATAAAAAAGGATATATACTTTTTTGTTGCTTTTTCAGGTGTTGCTACAGACTGTACTGCCATATACAGCACTGGAGAACACTCTAGTGGCATCTACACTATTAAGCCCAATGGGTCTGAAGCCTTCAGCGTCTACTGTGAAATGAAACTGGGTAAGGCCAGCAATCTAATTTTCCCTTTAAGTAACTTACTGATAAACTAAAACCATGTACCATCCTAAAGCATGAAAAACCATATTATAGACCACACGGACAGTGGACAGATATCATGAGGCTGCCAGCACTTTCCCATCTTTTAAAATAACAAAGGAAATTAAAAGAAATGGCATCCGCTTTGTTTTGCGCCAGCAAAGGTCTATTCTTTAACCTGAGTAAGAGATACATTAAAAAAGTAATGATAGGAAACAGATTTTAATCCAGAGTCAAATGGCCACCCTAAACAATGCTTGCTAATACCAAAAACTCACCATATTACAAACATCAAGTATCTTTACTATATTAAAACAGCTGATCCCAGGAATCTTTGCTTAGTTAACAGGGTTAACTTTTAAAAAAAAATGTTATGCATGTTCCTTAAACAGTTATTTCTGAGTTCAGAGTTAGTCATTTTATATGACTCCCCATGTTAGATCCTTCCAAACAACCTGTGCAGGCCTGTCTTCTCACACCATAATCATTGTGCTATTACTTTGTGGTATGTGTTGGACTCCTGAACTGTGCTTATACCACCATTTTGCCCTGCTCTCCCTCTTCCCTGTTTGTCATCCTGTTTCTTATCACACCAGTGGTGCTACTCTGTGTACATCCCTCTGGTTTCTCTGACCAGACACTATGCCACCAGTGCCCAGGTATTTCTAGGAATACGCTGATACAAGCACACAGAGGCAACGTGATATGTTTGGACAAGAAGACACTGTTGGCACATGGTTGCATAGTAAAAAAAAAAAAAAAGTTCCTGTAGGGACAACACAGCGTTTGTTGTGACCAGGTCAATCGAGGGTGTCATGACCTGGGTTCAAAAAAAAGAAGAAAAAAAGTAGTTGTAAGCAGAAGTTGGTGTAGTGGTCAAGAGCTAAGAGAGAAGAGGTTTACTGACAGTGCAAAGTATTTATTAAACATCCAGCTGCAGTACAACTGAGTTACTTTGCAGGGCTGGGTTTCTTACCCCTCCCTCCTCCCAGTATAGATGGGGAGGTAGATACAGAAAGATATATAGAGAGAGCAATATACAGACACAGCAAAGAGTTGTCGTGACTGCTGATGAGCTGTGGGCAATGAAAGAAGCAGTGTCCTTTGAAATAAAAGCTACAGCAAACAACTAAGCAGTCTCTCTTCAATTTGGCAACCCTCTGTGAATCACCTAGATAGAGTGATCTAGGTTCTAGAGTACTATTCTGAAATATTTAGTTTCCCTTGTTGTCTTCTGCTTTACCCTTGTGAGAGCTCAAGCAAACAGTTAAAATAATCTTCAGACTGACAGTTCACTTCCTATTGTTATTCAGACAGGCCATGGACAGTAATTCAAAGGAGATCTGATGGATCGCAAGATTTCAACCAAACCTGGGGGAGCTACGTAAATGGTTTTGGAGATCTCCATGGTAAGGATGCTCTTTTCTTTCTCCCTGCTCCCCACACACTTCTTCATATTTTATAGGATAGTACCTGTTTTTAGAGGTTGGACTCTTGGGTGAAACTAGGGTTCACAAGCATTAATGTATGCAGCATTAGAGGGCTTGTAGAGGCTGCAATCTTGGGTGAAACGAGTGGGTTCACAGGGCAGCAGAGGAAAACAAGCAAAAATATCTAAGGTAAGACCCTGGACACTGCACACCAGAAAGTAGAAGCCTCCTAATTCAACAAAGTTCTCCAGCGTTACCTTTAGGTATGTGCTTAGGCAATTTTCCGAAATAAGGTCCAAAGGAATCCTTTCAGCTCTCAACATTACTGTATTTGTTTAGATTTTCGTTTTATAAAATCACTCAACCCAAACTTCTAGATTCCTCTGAATCTAGAAGCATGAGATGAGAAGAGATGCACACTAAAAGGAACAACCAACAGAGCAGCACTTCTTTTTTCCACACCACACTTTCATGTAAGCTAGTTACCACATCCAGGGTTCAAACCTCAGGACAGCGCAAGGTGAGAGGCTTTTCCACTGTTCACACAGTGCTGTTTCTCAGTCATTGGCAGCCAATCACATCACCTCGCTTGTGGCTGGTTCAGAAACGCCCATGCTTATAGGTTAATCATCAACTATCAAAGCAAATTTTAACACCAGGCATTGGTCAACTGCCCACCCATCCAGCAGATTTTCTTTAAAATAGCATGGAACTGCTCTTGGAAGATCTGAGTTTGCTATGGCAAGGCCCAAGTGGCAGACTCAAAAGCAACCAATCTTAAGAACATAAGAAGTGCCATTCTGGATCAGACCAATATAGACCATATAGTCCAGTCTCCAACAGTGGCAGGAATGTATGCCTTAGAGAGACAGCACTGAACTGGATACATCTAGAGCAGAGGTTCTCAAACTACAGCCCGTGGACCACCACTGGTCCGCAAGCTCCATTCAGCTGGTCCACGAAAAGGTTATGGAACCATCGAGAATATCTGTACTTGTAAGGTAAGACTACTGATATTAAAATATGAGTAGCGTGCCTTGATTTGTAGAACAAAATCAAGTTTATTAAGTGGTCTGCGAAAAAAAACAATTGAGAACCACTGATCTAGAGTGATCTATCCCCTATTTGGTACCGTCCCTGGAATCCACCATCACTGGGCTAGAGATGCTAGAGGAAGCATCTCCATTTATTCTGTTCAACAGCTATTAATAGATCTATCATACATGAACCTGTCTAGTCCCTTTTTTGAACCTGGTTATGCTATCTTCCAACATGGGTACAAAGCAATGTGATGACAGCAGTTCTTTGCTTCCTTACATACCCTTAACAGTGAAGTCGCTCTATTCCTCCCTCTGTGATTAAAGCAGTAGATCAGACCTATGACATTTACTTGTGTAGGATAAGGTTTAAGGTTTGTCACTCTAGTGCCCAAATCCCACATCAACAGAAAGTGCATTTGATTCCATGTCAGCAAGATTTATGCAAAGTATCAGACTACTATACTGCGATACCAACATGTGATTCTGGCCTATGAAGACTTTTAAGACAAATATAAAATTGTAGGGTCCTACATTTCAAAATAAATTCTTTCCTTGTTATTCTGCTCCCTTTTATCTTTCTCAAACAGCTTGTCTTTTATTTCTTGAAAAATTGGTACAATCTTGCCTGTGCGCCTCTTTTTATTTATTGTCAGGGTCTATTGGGCTTGGACATCAACAATGGGTACTATAGGATGCTGATGACTGAATATAATTATGTGCTAGCCAATAAACCCAACTGCCAAAGAGTGTGCTGAAGAAAAAATGATCAAGTTAAATTAAACTTTTGTACATAGGGGCAGCAAAATCTCATTTCAAGAAAATACATCTCCATTACAATTAAGTTTTATATATGTCATTTGGTTCACTTATCACACAGTTTCCATTATGTACTTTTTTTAAAATGTCTTGACTCTCCTTGCAGAATTTCATAAGAGCTTGGAAAATTCAGAGAAGTTACATGTCATTTACGTATCTAGTTTTCATTGATCACTAGTGTATAATTAAAAAAGATGTAAACAAAAAGAATGTTTCAGGGAGACCCTCAGAAAAGATCAAGAGTTCCCAAGACTCATACTATTGATTTAATTAAAGCCATGAATAAACCTTTTTAAATAATTTTGCCCTGACTTAACTCTATACTAATACTATTCATGCTACATACCTTTGCAGGGGAATTTTGGCTGGGACTGAATAAGGTGTATTCCATCGCTAAACAAGCTGACAACATTTTACGTATTGAGCTGGAAGACTGGAAGGCTAATAAACGTTACATCGAGTACACATTCACCTTGGGCAGTCCAGAAACCAACTATGCCCTCTACCTTTCTGAGATCTCAGGAAATATTCCCAATGCCCTGACTGAAGAGACAGAAATGAAGTTCTCAACAATGGATCATGGTGATAACACACAGAGAGACTCTACCTGTCCAGAAAACTATTCAGGTATCAGTACTCTGAGCAGATATATCTAATGTAACAACCCTTCCTCCCAGAATTCTCATAACTTCCATGAATTACCGGGGAGCTACTTATCATGACTTAGCAATCATAGACATTAGGATACTGAAAAGACAGAACCATAGCAATGTAGCTCCATGCCCAATCACCCAGCCCTGTGGGCCAGACAAGTAGCAGAGAGTCAATCCATGGGCTAGATCTTGTGCAGAGTCAGTGAGTGGGTCCTGTCTGCAGGTGCAATCTGGTGTGGCAGCCTGAGCCCACATGCTAGCCAAACTATGCACCGGTGTGATCAGATGACCGGAGCAACACTGGATCGTGCCGTGACAATTGTGGTGATACAATCAGCTACTGCTGTGACAATGGCTGCTTTTGTGACCCCCAACAAAAGAAAAACCCAGGGCTGCAGCCCTGGTCACCCTCCCTCAGCTACACTACTGTATCACAGAATTTCTCCTCTACAAACCAAGAAAGTAAAATTACCATTCCTAGTACTTATCAAGAGCTTTTCCTCCACAGACCTCAGAATGCCTGAGCATTATTACCTCACTTTACAGATGTTTCCTTGCTGCTGAATATCCAGACCTATGGGAAACCCTGTGGGCCAGATAATGAGGCCCTGCTCACTAAATTGTGCTGGTGCACAGTTGGGCTATATGCAGGGTCAGACTGGAGCACTGAATCACAACTGCAAATGGACCCCATGCACTCTACTTGTGCAAGATCCAGCTCACAGATCAAGCCCATGACACTCATCTAGCCCAGAGGGTCAGAAGATTAGGCACCACTACCCTCAATCCAGTCTGGCTTTCTCTGAGTCATCCCTCCTTGCATACACCAGAGAATGGACTCTATTTTGACCTTAACCAAAAGGCCACAGTAGTTAAGGTTGAGTTCCATTTAAAATCTGATTTTGACCTCTAGTAAAATTTACAAAATAAGTGATAGTCATGTTAAAACCAGCAGGACAGATATAGGCTTTTGGAAGGTTTCTTCTATAGAATCTCACCGGGGTAGAAGTCCAATTGTCTTTTTTGCCAATTCATACTTAAACAAAAACACAAAACCAGCAGCAGCAGACTGTTCAGACTTAAGCCAACAGGACAGCCTGCACTGGGATCTAGCACATAAAACCAACACTAGTTTTTTTTAATTAATTCTGATTTAAAGTGTTACTAGCATTTGGAGTGTTGCTAAGGAAAGTCAGCTCGGTGATCCTAGCACAAACGAGAAAATGATTTCCAGAGTTCTGTGCTTTCTAAACAGAGTATCCTTATAAGGATAGCTTGCCAATCACCAGTGATCCAAAGCCTTATGAGGATGCAGGAAACTAAAAAAAGCTTAAATGTTTTCTTAGTTATCTTTATTTGGCCACAGAATTTCTAAGTGCAACATATTCTGCATCTGTCAAAAATTACAGGTTCAACAGAAGATGGATCTGGCCTAGAAAAAAACTCATCTTAAAAACAGGGTTTAGTCAGTAACTAATCCTGTTATGTCAGGAAGAAAAAGTAAAATTTGGATTAACTGACATTAACATATCCTTTTTAGGTGGCTGGTGGCACAGTGGATGCGGGGAAACCAACCTGAATGGAAAATACACCAAACCAAGATCAAAAGGAAAACTAGAACGGAGAAAGGGACTGTATTGGAAGCCTCAGAAAGGGAGATACTACTTACTTAAGTCAACTAAACTCATGATACATCCTACAGATTTAGAAAGTTTTGACTGAATTCTCACTCTGATGTGTTTAATTCAGATATACCCACTGAACATGAATATACCCACTGAACATGAAACACAATATGAACTTCCTCAATACAAGCATAAGCGCTACATGCCAAAATACATGGCATATGTATTACACCTACTCAACAAAACAAAACAGGTGTTTACTATGGTCTATGGTGTATTTGGTGAGTATTATTAAAATGAAGGACTTTGGCCTCCATTTTCAAACGCTAATATCTAGGAATTTTATACCTGTTGAGATCTTAGGCTGTACTGAATAGGGAGAAAGATTTCTGAGTCACTGCATTCACATCTGGATAGCGAAGTATACAGGAAAACACTCAAAATGTTTCAATAGAAATAATAGATTAGCAAAATGCTGTAGAAAACATTTAACCATTAATTTTGAAAGATAAATGGATTTTACTTTATAAAGTACATTAGCTCTACATTAGTCTCAAGTTATAGTTTTGAAACATTTCTATACATGAATGGAAGGCAGGTAATTCTGCATTTTGTGGTATTATGTATTTAAGCCTGAACTTCCACCTATGCATGTTGGCACAAATCCTGGAAACAGCACTGTTCTCATGCAACTAAGAAAACATGCATCTGGAAATGCAGACTCTGAAACTAATCATTTATTCTTTGCTTTGCAAAACAAATATTAAAGCCTGATGCAAAGACTCCCCATTCATGGGAGCTTCCCACTCTGTTTCAATGGGTTTTGGATCAGGCCCATTTTTATTTTATATTTATGGAGTTAAATGAAGGACAATGTGCTATGTTTAAAGCAGACTGTCTTTAAAACAAATGAAAAAAAATCCTGCAACATAAGCCTAAGCAAGCAATCCCACTGAAGGCAACAGTAGTGTCCAAATAGTCACAAGGGTAAAGACTGTAAGCTTAGGACCTTCAGACGTCAGTCCTCAAATATTTACATATTTGCTTAATCTTGGAAGTTAATGGGACTACTTACATGCTTACAGGCAAACTGAGTCATATTGACTTTTACATGTCATATCTGATAACTGTACTGTATGTATTTTATATAATTTAACATTTGTAACTAAGAAAAAACAACTTTTTAAGATATATTTTGTTAAGGTGGAAACAAGTCTGAATGTAATTTGCTAAATCATGAAAAATAATGCTGCAAACCAATTGGATGCTGTTGAAATTAATTTGTTATAATTGAAATAAGAGACACTGTAATGTAATGTACTGGTGTACCATAACATTGACCGGTTTGTGCAACCCCTTAAATAAAAGGACATTTAAAAAAAAAACCAAACAAACCTGGTATACAGCATGAATAGAATATTTCTTACAGGGCAGAGTTTCTGTTTGTTGGCTGCAGCCACAAAGTCAGTCAAGAAGTTGACTCTGTGGTTCTACAATGTCTAGGAAAAATGGGGCTCAGATCTGACTGTGGACCCATGTGCTCCTATAGCAAAAAACCTATTAGTAATAGTTATCAGAACATTTCTCAGATTTTTCGTCTTTTCTCCTCTGCATTTCCTTCTGAAAGGTTTCCACACTAAAAAGACAAATCTTACCTTACTTTCATTCCATAAGGTACTGTAACAGCCCCTACCTCCTTAAACAGAGTTTATAGCAAGATTTTTCATGTTTATAAAATTGGAGCTGTCCAACTTGAGTGGCCAGGCTGAGCACCATGTGCACTGCCCCAGGACCCCTGCACCATGTGATCACTGCACTGGACTACACAACATGGCTCCCTACACTCCCACTGCAACAGTGATCCTCAGTCCCTACCCCCACCCAGCCTCTCAACTGTGGGCTCCTTCAGCCCCATGGGCTGCACCGCGTTCCTCACTCCGGCCATCCCCCAGGGCAGGGACAGGCAGCTGAAGCAGGAAGAGGGAGGAGGAATCCAAAGACTCCAGCAGCACCAGCAGGAGGGGGTGGAGGGAGCAATGCCCAGACTGGGAGCCTGGGGAGGGCAGGTTAACTACTTGGGGGCTGGATGTGGCCAGCTGGACAGCATGGTATAAATGAACCAAACTGTTAAAAAAAAAAAAAAAAAAAAATCTGAGAGACAAGAAATGTATTTTTCTGCTACCTGCTTTCCACTATACAGCCCATGGAGGTTTTAACCAAAAAAAGGTCCTAAAAACAGGATGGGGGAAGCAGAATGGAAGACATTAAAGGGAATGGTGGGTATGAGACAGAAATGAGAGCAGGGAGCCCAGGAAGGGAGATGTCTCTATTTTTTCTTTTCGGCTCCCTCATCACCAGGGATCCAGGTTTTCCATATGCCATGGAAAAATGCAGTAAAACCCAGACTTTCTAATTTTAAGGAGAAAAACCCAGATTTTCAACATAAAAGGAGAAAAACGCAGGGAAACAGTGGGTTTCCCCTTGCAGGCTGGCAGAGCTCCAGGGAGTGCAGGGGAGTGGGACAGAGCTGCGGGAGGCTCATGGGAAGGAGGCGGTGGGGCTGGCTCTCCACTACTGCGCACATTCTCGGAGGGGGGGATATGGAGGGCACATGCCCCCCAGACTTGTGTACAGGGTAGGGGAGGAGGTGGGCTGCCCACTGTGAGCTCAGGCTTTCCCCCTGGGGCCTCCACAGCCCAGCAGACGGGACCCAGCGCAGCACGGCAGAGCAGAGCGGGGAAGTTCAGTGACACTACTGCGAACCCCACATCAGCATGGCAAGGTGCTCTCTGCCCGCCTGGCAGCAGTGGGGGTAGCAGCACCCAGCTGTGCCCCCTGCTGATGCCAGGTGGGCAGGGAGCACCTCGCTATGGTTGGGGAGTGAGGGGCACCAGCAGGGGTGGGGGAGTTGTGGGTAAGGAGTGAGGGGCCTGGACCTGTGTCCTGGAGAATGAAGGGGGCAGGGGGAGCTCTGATTTTCCATGATAAAAAACCCAAAATCAAATGCCAGAATTTATTTTATTATAGTGATTGAGGCTCTGGTAGGCTTCCAAAATGCTTTAAAAATCTAATCATATCAATAAAACATTGTGTTCAGTTGATACCTAGATATATAGCAGTGTTTCATTTAATCATGGATTTGGGGGGTTTTAATTAGAGAATTTGTGATTTTTAAACACAGAATTCAGGATCCCTGTTCATCACTGATCAAAACCTCTTCTAACGCCAATGCTAATGCCAGCCAGAGATCCGTGAAAACTTTCTTACTAGCTGGCACAGGCAGCCTTCATTGCTTAAAGTGAACATCTTTAAAAAATAGGATACTACTACATCAAAGAACAGTCCACAACCTAGAATTAATCTCTAAACAAGTACTCATAGCTTCTGCAAGAGCAGCCACCAAACTGGGAAGCAGACAGCTACCACCACCCAATGAGACCAATACCAGCTCAAAAGAGCAGTCTGAAAATGATAGCAAGAGCTGTCTTGGTCCCAGTAAGGCCCCTTGTATATGTCTACCAGAATGTCTTCAAGAGAGAAGAAACATCAGGGAAGTCTCACCAGCCCTCCCCACCAACTCATGCTCCTTCATCCTATCCCCAAGAACTGGTGACCACTCCCCTCGTCTCCTAATAATACCTGAATTATAAACTTGCTGTGCAACTGTTTAGGGACTAGACTTCAAAGCCCTCTGATATTGATGCTCTGCACTAAGATGTTTTCAAGAGCTAAAAGATTAAATCATGGATACAAGCCAATTTGCTTTCCAATCAAGAAAACCTATTACTTCCTGGAGAAGTCCCAATTGCCTGACCCAAGGGAAGCCAGCCAAGCATGTGAAGAAAATAACCAGAGAAAGATGCACGCAAGTGTGAGCGTGCGTGCATACATGCATACATGCACACACACGGAAACACTATTGGAAACAAAAGCACTGAGAGACATCCTGTCCCTGTGGAGCCAGCTCAGTAACTTCAGCTCTATGTGTTTCCAGACAAAGAATCTAACAGTTCGACCCTCCCCCCTGTACTAAATCTTTCGGAGGAAGAGTGGGGTTTGACTCCTGGCAGCCATATTCCCAATTTCTACAACCCCAAGAGCTGACCCTTATCTGTAAGGGTTCTAGGCCAAAGAATGGGAGCTGAATTTTCACAGCTTTCCTTTCACTACCTCCCTCCTCTTTCCCCTCTATCCAAATTCGAAAGGCAGTTCTTTTCCCAACCTCACTGGCTAACTTCCCAACTCCCAGACTCTTAAAGCGAGATCCTTTCAGTGAGCTGAGAGTCCTGTGCTCAGAGGCCACCATCAACACCTTGCTAACCTGGCTTTGAGCTGACAGCTGTCTCCTGCACCTAAGCCAGTTATGACCTGGTCACTCAGTACAGCTTAACAGCATAAGGCAAGAAGTGGAGAAAACCACAAGGAGAGACAGGACAGATCAGACTGATCAGCTAGAAGAACAATGAATTAATTCCCAGCAGAAGTTAACAGAGCCAACAGCCCCTCATCCCATTTCATGGAAATTCATTACCTGAATGTGCGTTTATGAGAAGCAAAAAATGACTGTCCAAGGTTAGGGCACTCGCCTTTAAAGAAGTTGTCTCAATTCCCTACTTCAACAAAAGACTTATTATGAAGTCATTTAGTTTCATCTGCAACATGGAGAAAGTATCTACTTCTCTAGGGGCACTGTGGGTATAAATACATTATAGTATCCACAAAATCTGTGGTAATAAGGACCACATTAATATAACAGCATAGCTCAGCATAATATGTAGACAGAAACTATTTAATAGGTAATTGATAATAAAATTATTACAGATGCCAGCTGTGCCCCCTCATAATACATACAGGCCACTACATCACTGAACCAAATAACATGGGACTATAACATTCAAAAGTTCATTCACCTGCAACACTACCAACGTCATATATGCCATCACCTGCTTACAGTGCTCCTCTGCTATCTACGCTGGATAGACAAGGAGATCCATAAGTGTAAGGAAGAACAAACATCGATCTGACACGAGCTGCAGAAAGACATAAAGACCTGCCTGTGGCAGAACACTTTAACCTTCCTGGACATCCCATCTCCGA